GAAACAGTGGGCATATAGAAATTTTCTATACTAGCCACTCAATTCTTCTGTAAATAGAAAACTTTTAAAAACTAAAGACTGATAATGAAATTTAAGATGGCAGAAAGCCAGATTTTGCCTTCAGACTTCTGTTAAGCAGAGATAACGGCCAGGTTTGTTTTACCTGGTAGAAGTAGTAGAACACCTTTATTATTTTACTCATAGTTCTATCAAATTTCAGGCATTATTCTGCAACACAGTACACAAGTACCTTGAACATCTCATTATCCCATAGGATACCATGGGACCATACATGTACTAAAGTAATGACATCGTTCTGACAGGAGTTATGAGGAGAAATGAAGAAGTATCCTAGACGCCTTGATATGTGTAAGAGGGAAGAGCCTGTCACCTATCAAAGTATAGGCAAGAGTGCACCATTTCCATGAAGTTTCTAAGATTCTGATAGCTTTGGAATAGTGGAATACCTTCTTCAAAGTCAACAATATTCAGAGTCAGCAGGCTGGAGTGACCAGAAATACTCACAGAGAAAGCAGGCAGTGAACAAAAACCAGTGGGCAGGAGGAGCTATGAATAAACAGAAATCCTGAGACAGAGATTAACAATGGCTATTGCATCGTAATAGTAACAGAAGGCAAAAGAGTAGAGAATTAAAACAGGTACAATCCGAGAACCTGTGGATATCCTAGGAAGTGTGTTGCATTTAAGTGTGTTACACTGACCCATTTACAACGTGACCTGGTGAGTTACTTAGTTCTTACAGAATTTAAGCAATACAGAGCAATCTATCCTCTCGATCAACAGGGTTTATTGTAAGATTGCAAAGGAAAGCAAGAAAATTTTTAAAAAGTCAAAAGGACTTAAGCTAAGTAACTAGAAAACTAAAGCATAATTGCAACATAGGTGAAATGAAGGCTTTATTAACGTGTCTAGAGACCTAACCATTGTTTCCAACAGTCAGTGGTGCTCATACTTCAGGTCTTATCTGCAGCTCCCCACACCCAGACTAATTCTCTCCTCTCTTGGCTTCTGTTTCTGCTCCTGTTACTACACGATTGAACAGCTATTGTTAATCTCTATCTCAGGATTTCTGTTTACTCATAACTTCTCTTACCTGCTGGGTTTTGCTTCTTGCTTCTCTTTCTCTCTCTCCCTCTCTTTCTCTCTCCCTCCCTCCCTATGTGTTTCTTAGCCTCTCCAGCCTACTGAATCTGAACGTTTTGCACTCAGTCTCTCAATAGACAGTCTGATTGGACTATGAACTCCTGTCCAGTGTCCTTTTACGGCAGAACTCTTGGGCTTTTCTCCTTCTGAGTCCTCTGGACAACATCTTTCTCTGGTGCAACTAGCTTTGGCTATGGATATGATGTCACTTCATACAAACACACTGACTTATGAAAGGGTCTTCTGGAAGGGGCTGTAGTTATAGCAGGTGCTTCTAAGAATGAGGGGCATTGTAATCAGCAGGCACATTTGCTAAGTAAGGAGAACCCCCAACCATTAACAAACACCTGTGAAAAATTTTGAGTTAACAGAGGTGCTAGAAAGTTTTAACTGAGATAAAGGCACCTGGACAGAATGCCAACCAGTAGTATTATTTCTGTCCCCCTTTTTTTGTTTATCTGTGTAAAGTTTTCCTTACAGTGGTTGTTCTTGATTTGTAGTGGGGGATAGGAGCATGTTTGTGGACAAAGGCACACAGTGGTTCCTAACCCCACATGTTTATCACATTATCAGCCAAATTATGAGAATACCATAGAATTAAAATCCAGAGGGATACTATTTTAGAGCCACTTGGGCGGGGTCCTATGTATAGTAGTCTACTTCTTGTCCCACTCTCAAAACTTAACCTGACCTCTGAACTTTGTCATTATATTTTTGTTCAGGAAAACCTGCTCATCAAAAGCTCTGGTAAAAATGGTTTGGGTTTTGATTTCCAGAACTCAGTCAACAGGTCTCCTCAGCCTCTCTTTGGCATAAACTGCAAAGTTTTGCGAGGTGGAGCAAGGCATCATTTTAATCTTCTCTCCCCAACTGCTTGTCACAGCCAGTGGTTATCAATTCCTGCATTCACTCTTCCTCAAAGTCTGTGACAGTCTCTCCCTAACCATTCAAGGTAAAAAGAAGAAAAGCTGCTTTTCTTGATCAAATTTTCTTGGCTTTACTGATTTTCTTTTCAGTAACAAATAAGCCTCACCCCTTCTTTCCCTGGCCACAGATACTCCTTATCTGGTATGTTTTTGCTGTCACTTCACATTAATGTCAAAAGAATGTTTAGTGGAATCTTTTTACAATAACTGCATACATTATCTCTTTTTTATTTTGCAAATTTGAAACCAAAGACCCGTACAACTAAAAGTATAAATTCCTCAAACAAGAAGTCCTGAACCCTCATAACTTGCTGTATTCAGTATTAAACTTGTACTTAGAGAAAGATTGGGTGATGTGAAGAATACCTCAGAAACACAGAAATCATGTCTCCAAATAGCAAACATCTGTTTCAATTTTTTTTTTGTACAAATCAAGAGATTCAAACAGGGTTAATTCAAGTTAATAGCTAAGAAAATATCAACCTGCATACTGTACATAGCTTCAATACTCATCTTTATTTTGTTGCAAGGAACAATATATATTGATGGACAAACACACAAAGAGCCTGTCATACTATTCATCACCCTGAGAAACAGGTCAAAGAGCAGCAAAGTAATGTTGCTAACAATAAGCAGTTTTCTGTAGTAGGCAGCATTTCTTAGCCTGTTGTGAATTTGTTTTATTATTGACAAAAAATTTGGCTGCCATTGACAAGAACTAGTGCTTTACCTAGCCCCATACCAAAGCTTGAACATAAAATAGGTTTGCATCGCTGTGTTGACACAACTTGATTAAATTAATTTATTGAATTAATGAATTGATTGAATTCTTGGAGTGGTGATTGTATCATGAAGGAGGGCTCTATATTTCTCAGTGGTGTAATCTACTAATGTTCATAATGGAATGTGCTGTTAGGAGGTGAGCTCCAGTTTGTCACTGGGAGCATGTCTTTGGAGGATGTATCTCTTGCTAGAATTCTTCCCCTGTTCTCTACTTCCTTGCTACAAGAAGTGATCAGTTGTGTACCACCATGCCCTTCTACCATGACGTTACTGCCTTGGAACAGGCTGACCACTGACTGGATCCCCTGAAACCATAAGCCAGATAAATTTTTCTTCCTTTAAATTGTAGGTGTCATAAGCCTTTTCACAGTGATAAGGAAGCTGACCAATACAGAGACCTGCTAACAGAGAATTGGGGTCATTGCTATAACTATACCTGGCCATATGGTTCAGAAGCTTTTGCAACTGGTTTGTGGGAGGAGTTTTGAAACCTTTGAATATGTAGGCTACCAAAGCCTGAGGTTGCTGTAACCAGAATTTGATGGGTGATTCTGGTCAGAGATTAAAAGATTAGAATGCTTATAGGAATGGAGACAGTAAAGGATAAATGAGGTTTTAGGTAGGAATAGGACCCTATTGGGAATTGGATGAAAGGCAATTGGACACTCTGGCAAAAGATTTGTCTACATTTTGCCCATGTACTGAGATTCTAAGGAAGGCTGAGTTTGAGGAATGCAATCTATCTGATCTGGCAGAGGAAATTTTAAGGCAGCCCAATATTCAGGGTGTGTTGTGGATACTGCTGGTGGCTTTAGGTGATTTATAGTAAGAAGTGAGAGCAAAAAGCGGAGCAAGAATGTATTAAAATTTAAATTTTAGCTTGAAAAGAACCACATGCAAAGTTAGAACCAAAGAAAGTGTAGTTCTGAAGAGATCAGCATCACTAAAAAGACACCAAATACTTTGAGCTGGGTGCGGTGTTGCTGGTGTTCTGGTGAGCATAGCTGCCTTCCAAATACTTTGAGCTGGGACAAGCAGAAAGATGCCTTGAGGACATATCAGGAATTAGGAAGAACCAACCCATTTTAGGCTCAAGGGTGTAAAATTATAAGCCTTTCATCTAAGAGATGAAAGTGCTCCCTGTTCAAGAAAGGTCTCCTAGAGCAACAGTCCTCAGCTGTTACCAGAGACCAATTAGGGGGAGACCTGAACTTATTTTCCTGAAACCAGATGGTCCCACCTGGGTTTGATGGAAGACAGTGACACTGTAAGTGTGTGCTATGTCCAGTGTACTCTGGAAAACCCTGCTGCACAAATATAGGATGTTGGAAATGGGAATAGGCTTTTCAGTGCTTTTGTGGCAATCTCAGGATATTCCACCTTGACTTTAATCCAGAATATATGTTAAGATTTGAAGTTATCTCAAACAGACTTTTAAGATCATCATTTCAATCTCAAGCAGTAGTCCTCTTCTAGCACGACAAAGCTGATTCACTTGACACGTTCACAAATGGGTGCAGATTTATTCCTTCCCAGTCTGGAGGTCTTCTGTGGCTAGGAAGTAATGCTCAAACACTTGTAAGCTGAAATAAAGAAAAAGACTGGGAAAAAAGGACTTTCTTTTAAAATCATTGCTAGAAACTCTCAGCCCCGCGCCACCTGTGCCGAGACAGACAGTGTTCCAGGGAGACTGTGCTCGCCCACAC